CCTTAGGACTTTGAAAGCAGGTTTCTGGGGCCCTTCGACTGGCAACCCTCCCTGATGCTTCAGTTTGGGATCTTGCTTCTGCTCTGTATGGTGTAGCTCTCGATTGTTGCTTCAGCCTCTCTGTTTTATCTGCCCCCTTTCCCTGCTATAAATGCAGGTGTACCACACACCGGCAGCTCCCCATGTCAAAAATGCAACCGTTTCAACAGGTTTCTTTGACCTCGTGTATACTTCAGTCGCTGTTCTGATCATTTCTAGGCTTTATTTAATTGGTGCCTGTTTAGCATTCCCGAGGCTCCTATAAATTACTTTCCAAGATTACAATTGTTTAAGTGTATTATATCTGATTTTATATTACGGAGTTTTGCCGTTTCCCCTCATATGTTGGCTCATCGTTGTATACAAAGGGACTTCGCTTTCTTTTTCTTTCTCTTTCTATCTTTCTTTCTTCCTTTCTTTCTTTCTTCACATGGGGAAAAGTCCCTATCAAGGACTCCATGGTTCCTTGCCCTGGATCTTCCAGTATTGGTTTGATACAGGCATGAGGAAGGATGCCGCAGTCGTGTTTTACCACCACATTCCACTCATCTACAAAACAGAATCCTGGTGGGGTTCTTTGTGGTTTTTTTGGGGGGGTTGCTCTCTCTCTCTCTGTAAAGACTATGAAAGAATTTTGAACAAACCGGTTTGCTTAAGGGTTGGGTTTATGAAGAGAACATAGTGGCATGGACCAATGGGAAAGTGATGTAAATAGGAGAGCATAGAAGGTGAAAACCCAGCACCAGAATGTAGAAGGGCCAAGGATGCGTGACACTTGAATTGGGAAGAAAAAGAGAACTTTTCCAGCCACCAGGAAATATTAGATGTTTGCCTGTTCCCAAGAGTAGGAAAAAAAAAAGAGTCTCCTGGGGCGGGGAGGGTGGGCCCCATGGGCCCTGAGCCTCTTGAAATTCCCTGCTCTCTCCCTACAAAATTAGTTACAACCCTGATCCAGTTTTTAAGGCTGTGTGGCTGAAGATTGGGATAGCTGGCTATCTACTGCTCTTCTGCTGCCTTTAATCCTGTAGGACCATCTGATGATGTGCTTATATGGGGAGAGAAGTTACATGCTGGTCCCAGGAAAGCTATAGACCCCACTCTTAAGAACTGCAGAAGTTAGTAAAGAAAGCAAAACCACTGAACAAGAGGGATAGAGGAAGCTTAGAGCATAGGGAGCCCCAGGCAACCGTGCCTGCTGTGTTCTGTATAATGCTGGGATGGACCGCTTTTTCTCTGTCTTCATCTTCTGTTCCTTCTCTCTCTCTGTGTGTGTGTACCTATTCCCCTTTCCTGGGCAGCAAGTGCTGAAATTTCCAACTTTTAATGAAAATCATAAACTTCCAGTGCAGAACTAGGAAAAACTGAACTGTCTTTGATAGTTAATCCCAAACCAAGTTAGGCAGCTCAGAAATAACACACTTTCGTGACTTTTACTCCACACTTTCAATCAACCCTAAGGAAAAAGACAAAAGGCACAGGACCTTGTTCCCCTTTACTTTAAAGACAGAGCTAAAAGTGTCCAATGTTCAGAGAGTCCCCGTTGCCTGGAAATCCTACCAGACAAAAAGCCCATCTTGGTTCCATTCTCAGCCACATTGAACCTGTTCTCACTGTCACCCTCTCAGGCCCCTTGTAAACTCTTTCACTTTGGAAGCCCTCCCAGATTTTTCACAGATGACTAGCAAATATTTAAGGCTTCCAAATATTTTAATGATTGGGGATTAAAGAAATTCAGCTTTAATTAAAGCGAAAACTCCCTCACGATAAAAAAGGGAAAAGTCGGTGTAAAACGAAGGAAAAGTCAGTTTCTTAAATCCTTAAGTTTTAACTGGTGGCTTACCAGGAAAGGGACTTTTCGTTTTGAGACCGTGCGCAGTTGGTGACAAGGGCGGCAGTTGGGGGGCCTCAATCCAGTGACCCCCTGGCTGTTGCTTTCAAGCTTCCATTCGCTTTGCCTGCAGCACACCCGCAACCCCCCCCCCTTTTTTCCATCTAATGAGCTGTCAACCTCTTCATCTCCCAAGCAATTGCCAAGTCCTTTCAGTTTAAAGTCAGGAGCCCTCTCCCCCAAAGGGGATATCTTACTGAACCTGACTGCTCAAAGGATGGAAAATGGGGGAAATGTCTAAGATCTTAGATACCCCTGGACTCGGGGCTGCCTAACCATGGAAGGAACACACTAAATAAATGCATTTTAGACTTGGCCCTCCCATCAACCCTAGAGCTTACCTGAACCCTAACCTCGGGTAGGTTAACTTTGCCCGCCAGCTCCTCGCGGCTGTACACGTCGGGGTAGTGGGATTTCTCGAAGGCACGCTCCAGCTCATGCAGCTGGTACGTGGTGAACGTTGTGCGGTTGCGTCGGTGCTTCTTCTTGGGAGGTTCCTCTTCTGGCAGCTTTGAGTCACCTGCTGCTGGTCCAACTGGCAGTCCTGGGCTTGGCCGTGGCTCTCCCTGCTCCTTGGGGTAGCAGGGGCGAGAAGCTGGGGACAACGAGGCCCCAGGGGTTCAGTGCCACTTGTCCAAGAGGCACGGTGGCCTCCCTGCAGCCCTAGGCCTCCCAGTGGCGCCTGAGCTGGCCTGAGGAGGTCTTTGATGGAAGCTATGTGGGGTCCCAAATATTTCTCTAATCTCAAATCGGGCAGACCCCCACACCCGCTGGAAAGGTCAAGGAAAAGGAGCTTGTCTTGCAAAGCACTCCAAGGGCTTCACAGCGGTGCTGTGCACTCACCTTCGTACTCCGGGACCAGCCCTGGGGCTGGCGGGGGGG